GCAGCCGGTCCCTGAGGGGAGCTGGTTTTGAAACCGGCTCCCCCCCCCGACCAGCTCCTGCCTGGCACCCCGCACTGCTGCCTCAGATACAGAGGCAGCAAGAGAGAGGCCGAGCACACTGGCTGTGGCCCCGCCCCCAGGGACTATAGAACAGTCGACTAACAGATACAAATTTGAGGTTACTCGACTATTCAATTAACCGATGTTCATAGACTCATAGAACCACAGAGCTGGAAGAGACATCAGAAGGTCATCACGTCCAGCCCCGTTTAACATTCCTAGCGCAGACAAGTCATGTCTGGGCCCCAGCGCATGGCTTACCCGGCTTGGCGTGCACTCTGGGGTCCATCCGGCAGGAAGAGACAGGTGCGTAGGTAGCCCCAGGTTGGGAAAGCACAAAGGGAGAACAAAGAGGTTCAGTTAGAGGTCTGATCTGGGGTGTGCGCCCCCAGCGTAACCAGGGGAGGCTGGACAGCGCCATTCCTGGCCACCCGGCTCCTGGGGCTGGGTTCCTTGCACTAGTAATTGGACGGGTCAGATACTGGGGGACAGAACTCGGCTGTTGCACACGCTGGGCTTTGTTCCGGTCTCAGAGACTATTCTGGAGAGGCAGGGAGGACCCAGGCCAGCCACCCCCCAGGCAACCACAGCCAGAGTATCTGTAACACCCCTCGGAGCCTAGCCCACTGGCCCTGCAGACCGGGATTCGCCAGCCCATGGAAAAGAACAGCAAATGTTCCCTGGGGAGACAGCGTGAGCCCTGCACCTTGGCCCGCGCTGCAGCGCCGATGTTGCTCGTTCTCATGCCGGATCCGGAGCCTGGCTGGTAATGATCGCATCAGCATGTGGAGAGGATCAATGGGCTCTCCCAGCAGAGTCCCAATCTTCTCTGGCAGGAGAACAGATGCTCAGGCATGAAGCAGACAGAAATCAAGAGACGGAGGAGCTGAACATATTTACCCGCCCAGGCCTCGCTGGTCAGCACAAAGGAACAGGGCTGAGGGAGATCAGCGTCTCAGAATGCGGCTTGGATGTAATGGGACCAGCTCTGGAATAATGCACCCGAGATACTAGGATTACCCCTGGGACGTGTGCAGCGTTGCCCGGATTTTTAAGGGTGAAAGGAGCCAATCATCCAACATAACACCGGCCCTCAGAGGACACCGAACGACGCTGCATCTGGCCAAGCAGTGCAGGGAGTCATTAGCCTAGCTCTCTGGTTTGCAAAGGGTTAAGCAAGAAAGACTAAAACCTGCTTTTCTCCTCAGCCAACTGTTTATTCCAAGGGGGGGGGGGAGGCACCTTTAAAGAGACACTGTCACAATTAAAAGCCTGCACGTACATGTGCGGAGGGACGCACACGTGCCCCCCACCATACACACAATTGCTGGTGCCACGTACATGTGCGGAGGGACGCACACATGCCCCCCCATACACACACACAATTGCTGGTGCCACGTACATGTGCGGAGGGACGCACACGTGCCCCCCACCATACACACACACAATTGCTGGTGCCACTCACGTCACCTGACATTATTAAAAGCAAAACTGGATCATTTGTAAAAGTCAGTTTCCCTTTCATCATTTTTGCCATTATCTATGGACTAGTCGCCCCTGAGGACCCCTGCGTATGAAGAAACCAAAACTGATGGAATCGTTCCTTTGGTGCGTTTGGCAACGGGCACCCTCGTCTGAAAGCAGCGCGGAGGGTCCTTGGCTAACATGCCGCTGTCTGCCTAGGCGCCTTTGCCATGTGTCACCAAACCCGGTCAG